AGAGGCTGTGGGGAGGAGCTGAGGGGGGGCAGGGGGTGAGTGGGACCCCCAGGGCGCGGCCTGGAGGGAGCCAGGCTGCCCCTGGACAGCCCGGGATGGAGCAGCTGCTTCCCACCTTGACTTGAGCTGTCACCGTGGCGGAGACGAGAGGCTCCGCACCCCCCTTAGGCTTGCAGCTGGGCCCCTGCCTCGGGCCGCCCAGCTTGTTCCACCATGGAAGGTCTCGGTCGCAGCCTGGGCATCGTGTGCTGTGGCGGAACAGGCTGGGGTGTCAGCCTCGGCGGCTCCGTGTGCCTGCGAGTGAGCTCCCCACGGCCCCCAGCGGCTGGAGCACGGCTGGGTGTTTCCTTCTGTCGTTCTGGCTTCCACGGGCCTAAATGCCATCAAAGGGCTTCGTGTGAGCAAGGGGAGAGTTCGGCACGCTGTAGTGAGCCGACATCCACAGCATGGGCCATCCCGGTTGTCTCTGGCTGTGCGTGCTGGCGGCCTAGGGTAATGCGGGTGTAGAGGTTTCTTTGGTGCTTCAGGGTAGGCAGAGAGCAGTGGGTTAACGCTGCATGTCTGAAGGTACTGCTGACTATCCTGATGCTTTTTACAGAGTAACTTATCATATTCAAGCACCTTATCGTTATCTTTGAGAAACCCCGGGGCCTGGTCTGGAAGTCTCAGGGGCCTTGGGAGAAGGGTGGTAGCTGGCAGCCTCTCCAGTGTCTACCTGAGGAGATAGAAGGAGCCTCCCGAAGCCAGGACCTTCTGCCCCTCTGTCCAGATACAAATTCCCCTTTTCCATTTTCGCCTTCTCTACTATATGCCTACTCTGGGGAGTAATTTTTCCTCCTTAGCCATCTCTTCTTCCCCAGATCCTACCAAAATATGAAACATAACTGCATGGGCTGTGCCGCCTATGGGTGAGAGAAAGAGCAAACCGTGTGTGTGACAGAGGAGAGCCACACCACTTCGCGCACTTCTCAGCGACACCAGATATGACAGTGATAGAATCGAGCAGGAAGAAAACGAGAAGCTCCCGACTGGCTCGCTCTGTGCCAATCTCCTCTTGTTCATTTCCTTTCTGAGATAAACAACCCCAATCGTTTCGATCTCTCTTTGTGAGCGAGTTTGCTGTGCCCCCTAATCAGCCCTTTCTCAGAAAGGCTCACTTGAACTGCAGACAGTATTCCCAGAGAGGCCATGCTACTGATTTACATAATAGCATTATCATATTTTCCATATTATTCTCCCCTTCTTTCTTCTGCATGCTAATATTTTGTGCGTGCTTTTTTTTTTTTTTTTTTAACCTGCAGCTACTCACAGAGCCAGGGTTTGTGTGACATCCAGATCCTTTCCTGAGTTGTTAGAGGCTGTCTGGAGCTTTGAAATTCTTATGTGCAATTTGTTTTCTCTTGTCTGACTTTGCATGTGCCCAGTTAAGCCTTGGCAAATGCATGTTGTTGCCCATTTGCCACATTTGCATTTTACTTACAGTCCTTTCTGGTCTCCTCAAGAGTCAATAGCTTTGAGTCATCTCCTAAAAATGTTTGGTATATTGCTCATCTTTGTTTCCAGATCATCAGTTCATACGCTGAGCTATCTGGGATCTCAGAGGCAGCATTCATATTCCCTGCCCTTAACCTTCTGCCAGAATGAAAATCGATCTTTGAACCTTCCTCCCGGCTTTTTGCCTTTTCCTCGGGTTGTTGATCCACAGAAATGCTTCACTCCTCACAGCAGGGCTCCATCACTTCTGGGCAGGTGCACTCATGAGCCCAGTCCCTGAAACTCCCAAGTCTGGATCAAACCTTGCACAGCTACGTGCAGCAAACTCCTGATGCACTACAAACGGGATCTGCCAGATAAGGCGGCACAAGGTCGGGCTTTCCTTGCTGCCCTCCCGCCATGGCAGCCAAGGACTGTGGGCTTCCATAAGCGCCCCTTCCCCAGCCTGGCCCCCTTGGGTTGTGCCTGTTTTAGTGTTTCTTTCTGGTTCTTTCCCCCCAGGCTTGACGCCAGCTCCCGGGCCCCTCGCCAGCAGCTGTGTATGCATGTTGTGAACTCCTCCGGCCACGCTATGCAGCGTGCCTCCAAACCGCCTCGGCCCCTCCGGGGAGGCCGCTTGCTGGCTCGCCGTGCCCGCTGCTTGCCATGGGCTCCCCATGCCTGTGCCACGTGGGCATGGGTGTTCAGCCTGCCCCATCTTGCAAAGAGAAGGGCGAGCGCAACAGCAGAGTGACCCGTGACTAGCGCCATCCCAGCTGCCGTGTGAGCGCCGGACCCCTGGTGACGTGCCGGGCGTTGCAAACTTGAACTCTGCCTTGAGACAGTGAAGCAACAGCCCCCTCTTCCCAGTGTTTCCCAACCCAGCTGGCTCCTCTGCTGAGCCACCGCATGCAGCCACCCCAGCAGGAAGCCACCCAGCAGTCACAAAGACTTGTGCTGCCCCGATGGGACACTGGCCCCCGTGCCCTGTCGCCTGCAAAACCCTGTTGCCTGGTGGCTTCTTTCCCCATGGAGCCACTGGGAATGGGATGCCCCCCGCACCTCCAGCATGCATCTCTGCAAGAAAGGGCATTTACCCAATGGGGCGAGGTGCAGGTGGAGAGGAGGGAGCACACTTTAGCTGTGCACCTGAAAAACAATGATGACCTTTGTTTCCCCAAATGATTAAGTGAGCTTGTGAAATATCAAAGGCAGCATGGGTGATGGGGCACAATAACCCATGCTGTTACCTGGGATAAAGGACAGACACCCCTCCCTGTCCCCTGCCTCCCTCGGAGTCTCCGGAGCTGCTACTCCTCTGCCAGTCTTGTCATGCTTGCAGCTTCTGCTCCTGGGACTCAAGTGCCATCCCCAGGGCTTCCCATCACCCATTTTTGCAAGGGCAGGACCATTCCCAGCCAGGGAGGCATCCCAGTGCTGCCCACCACCAGCCAGCAAACCCTCCCTGGGAGGTGAATGCAACCCACAGAGCTGCAAATGGCATCTTGGAGGGTTTCTGCAGGGTCAGGAAAAAACCTGCAGTTGGAAACAGAAGGCTTGCCTCTTACAAGAGCCAGAAAGCAATCCCAAAACACAAGAGAGAAGATGGGTAGTGACCCACCAATGCCATCTGAGCTAGGGCTTAATATCCTTAATATCTGCTTGTAAAAGGACCTTGCAAGAGGCCTTTTGGCAGTCTAACTCCTCTGTTCAACACCTCTCTTTCATTGCAGCCCTACTTATTTACTTTTCTCAAGCATTTGGGCTCTCTGTCTGCAATGAGTCAGGAGGGGTGGAGGGCCAAGGGTGGTGCAGGTGGCTTCTTTCCCTGAACCCTCCAGCAGCTTTGATGTCAATTGCGTGTGGGAAGGAAGACAGGTGCTGAGGGAGGAGAGACCACTGGCACGCAGCCACCTTCCTGATTTACAGCCGAGACCCAGACTTTAGTGCCAGAGAGTAACTAGCCACTCTTGGGAGCCACACTCAGGATATGCTTTTGCCAGGGGAGGGGAAGAAAGGACAAGTTCCCAGCCAAGCTGCTGCTGAAGCAGGGCTTTTCAGCTCCTCAACCTCCAGCCCTGCAGCCTGTGGGGCTGCAAACACTGGCAGCAGGCGAGCAGTCTCCTGTGTGATGCAGAGCCGCTGCCACTGCAAGGGTCTGCACCGATGGTTGCTGAGGAAGCTCAGGTTTATTGCCTAACAAATAGAAAATGCTGCTGTAGTGTTTTTGCAATTGGTCCGTGCGCACCTTCATTCTCAGCATGACTCGTGTCTTTAACCAAATTTCCCCATGGCTGGGTTTGTTAGGGACTTTTTATTATTCCCTGGCTAGAAACAATTCCACCCCCCCGCACTTTGCACCAGCTGTGTGCTGCAGAAGGTTTCCGGAGCCATTCAGAGACCCTGCTTGTGTGATTGCTGCTAGCCTTGCAATTTTGCATCACTCCGACAGCCCCGTGGGCTTTCTGTGCTGGAAGTGTCTGCGGAGAGCCGAGAGCTTGCAACCAGTAGCACCAGCC